GGCGTCAACGGTCCGCAGGAGGGGCACAGGTTCTCCCGACGTCCCTGCGTCAGAGACGGCGGCACAGCTCGGTCCGGCCTGGCATGACCAGCAGTCTGACGAGTCCTGGCCGGGCAGAGTAAGCAATCAGACGAGCACCGACCTGGCAAACCGTCACCCTGACGTGAACTGACCGGACAGAACCAGCAGCATGACCGGGTCTCTTCTGAAGGGCCTGCGGCCGGGTAAATTATCACTCTGAGAGACCTCGGCCGGGCAGATTCAGCAGCCTGATAGTCCCCGGCCTGACCACCCAGAGCACCTTTTAGGTCCGGCCGGGCAGACCCTCTCCCTGAAGTCCCTGACTGGGCCGGAAGCCTCCCCTGATGGAACAGACCCCGCTCCTGGCGGCTCGGGCGGGCAGACCCAGAACCCTGACGAGCCGGACCCAACAGACTCAGCCCTCCTTCGCCGCTGGCGTGGGGAGGGGCTGATGACACACACCGCCACCGATCCATCAAGGTCATCACTTTGCAACCAAGTGGAGCGGGCCTCCAGACAGCAAGAGCCAACTCTGGGGAGCGCCAGAGCACGCGGCAGCTGCAGACCCCACTGGTATGGTTTCACGGTCCAGTTCGGCGTGCTCGACACGACCCGCAGTCGGCGCCGGCGGCCTGGGCCATCACCCGGTCCGCCGTACCGTCCGCGGCCGCAGCCCGCATCGTCTGGCGTCAGGGGCAGAGGCGCGAGCAACCGCAGCTCAGCCGGGCCGCGGACGCACGGCTGCCTCCCGTCGGGTCACCGACCGGCCGACCGGCCGACCGCGCCGGCGCCGGCCGACCGGTACGCCCGCAGGCGTCGGCTCCCCGGCGCTGCCGTGGACGCTGGAAGAGGCGACGGCTCAGTCTTGGATCATACACAGGGACGCAGCCAAGGATGGGGAAGCCTTTGGTCCGCATTTTCTGTTATTTCGCCATCGATGGCGGCCGGCAGAATATTAAGAACCTGCGTTTTTTTTATTTGTAAAAATCCTGGCTGGGCCCCTGTTTGTAGATATATAAGCCCCAGGGAATATCTAGGTCCTCCGTGCAATCAAGGTGGAGGCAGGGTTTTGGGGGGGCATTTATGGGAGGCAGTTCTGTTAAGTTTGGCATGTACTACATGTAAGGCCAGGCGTCCCACTTTTGCCTCGAAGTCGTTATGTAAAGGCCGGATTTCAAGCAGATACTCCAGAAAGCTACAAGGGATTTCTGGAGCCTTGTCCTCCGTCCTTCCAGTTAAGTACCGTTGCTTCATCGTGTCTGACATGTAGCAGCTTTCCATTGCCAGTCTGGCCCTCTCCGGTCATTAGCCGCGTGACTCGGCCTATCGGGAGCGTCGGTTGAGCCGAACCCAACAGGCTTGTGCGCCCATTTCCTTTCGAAAGTGCTTCGCTTTACAATAACGAGCCGGAGCCATCAGTTCTCCTTTGTTTTCCAGCAGCTAGCCGTAGTGAGTTACCTCAGCGCGTCCGTTTGGACGATCCCATCCCAGAGCCTCACCAAGAGTCACCTCTACCGCAACTAGAGGCGATTGCTTGATTCAGGCTCTCTCGCGGAGCTTCGGAGTCCGCGCGTCACGCGCCGGCCGTGATGCTCGAGACCAGGCCGTGTGCGGTGTCGCCCGGCCCCAATGTTCCGCACCTGTGGTCGCCCGGGTGTGATTCAGCGCGTGCTCCACATGCTCAGCGGCGAGCGATGCCCGCCTGCCCTATTGGTCCGCCGCGCCGCCGCGCCGAGCTGGTGCGCGCCCCGGCGCCACCTTCCGCCCGCCTGGACCGGCCCACCTAGCGGTCCCTGGTGGCCATTTTGGGAAACATTCGAATGCGTCTAAAACCCGGCCCCGTGTTGAAAAGAAGGCCGGGCGTTGTGGGTAATGCAGGAAGAAGAGCTGATGGCGTGGTCTACTTCATGGCATCGGCCTCTTTACGACGAACGGCGTTTTCTATCTGATTAGGGACAGGTCACTGCTGACAAGAACCGTGGCGTGTAGCCGTCTTCTGAGGTGCCCATCGGTCGATCAGACAAGGTTCCAGACTGAAGTTGACTGCTGTGAGCTGGTGCGACCACCGCGGTCGTTGGCTCTTCATAGAAATGGCCAGCAGAATCATTAGAACCGGGTCTGACTCAAGAGATGGACGCCAGGAATTCTGAAAGTGTTCTACTTCCTAACGAACAATGATTAGCTACATAGCATACAATTTTTCAGCGCAAGAATCTTGGACTCGCGTATCATTCACGTTTAAATTGCTAAGCTCTAATGGGATGTCAAATTTTTGATAGTTCCCGGTAACGAAAGACCCACCGCACGGTTGGCAGCGGTACGAATACCTTGGGATACACGGCTCTCACGCTCGGACCTTTGGCAGATACGACACCACCTGAAGGGCAGGGCAGTTGGGACAGCAGTCTCCCCTTGCCATTTTGCAAGGGGACAGCAAATATGCCCTCCCTGAAGCTTCAGGAAGTTTCCTATGCCCGAGGGAGCCCCAAATTATCGAGACGTACCAATTTATCACATAAAAAGGGGGCCTACGTACACAAGAGGCAACATTTGGTCCATAGGAGGCTCTAGCTGGTCAAGACCAGACCATATTGGCCAAAAGGAGTCCCCAGATGATCCAAAGGTTGGCTCAACAGATGTACAAGAAGGAGGCACATGAAAAAAACAACACAACAAGCCGGCCAACCCAAGAAGAGAGAGACCTGAATAGTGATACCAGTAAGGCCGCCAAGCCAAGAGTAGGCAGTGCTCAACATGTGTGACAAGGGGATCATTTGGAAAAAGGCTGGGCGAAATTGGAAGGAAATGTTTTGATAGTGTTTTGGGTAGGTCCTTAGCTCTGCTTGGTAGGCTTTAATCCCACCAAATCTGCCCGCTCCCTGGAAAAAGTCAGTGGCGCCGCCCCTGCGCGATCGCTTAGTGCTAAATGCCGCAATCATTGAAAACGTGGCTAGGCTTTTGTGACATCCTGGTCAAGATTTAGCGCGTACGCGAGAGGACCAGTGGGCTCGCAGCGAAGCGACATCAGTCGATTAGGCGCCGTGGCAACAGAACTGGGAGCGACTTGTTTGAGGTATTCACAGCTCTGGAATGAAGGGATCCTTCGATCGCCGCTGGCCCCAACTGCCCTGTGGCTAGCTGAGCACCACGAGGGCAGTGGGCGCCTTCCCACATGCTTTCCCCCGCCGAGACGCGCCGTTCCCACCTAGCCTCGACTGGACCATTGTCGCACGCGAGCCGTGAAACGCGTGCCGGATGGCGCTGGCGGTGGCTCAGGTAGCGCAGCTTTCACGCGCGACCATCAGCGGCTCGCCTCTGGGCTCATTAGGCGAGGGGCGGCAGCCACCCGCGGCCTGTCGGATCGATGGCCATGCGTCGCCACGCCGGAGCTGTACTGTCGCGACGTCTCGTCTCTTATCGGCATCTCATGTCTCCTGTTCCGTAGGGGTCTCGGCTTCCAGTCGTGAGCTGGACCCCGCAGAAGTGACCGGGCTGGCGCTCAGCTAGTTAGCCGTCGGTCTTCGAGGCGCAGGGGTGTGCATTTCACATGAGAGCGTGCTGTTTATTCACTTCTGCAGTTGACGTCTTGGCACACGGACCCAGATGCGTGACGGTACGAACACTGTAAGCCTTGTGTGACGTCCGTACACCACAACGGTGTGTGGCGGTTTAACACTGCAAACGTTACGTGACAGCCTCGGCACCGCAGCGCTGCGTGACAGTCCCAACAACACGGCAGCGCGTGTAGGTCCCAGATGGTAAACGATGTGTGACAGTCCCAGCCGCTGAAGCCTCAGCGGCGTGGGACAGCTCCAGCATCCTTACGGTGTGCCACAGCCCCAGCATGCCCACGGTGCAGGACAGCTTCAGCGGCAGCACCGCAGCGGTGTGACGGTCCCATCACCGCGAGCCGGGTGACAGCTCCTTTCGCGCCGAGGTGTACGATGGCCTGGGACGGTCCGTGTGCCACGGTCCTAGCTGAGCGAGGGTTTGTGACGGCCTAGCACCGCTACCGCGTCACATTTGACGGCCTCGACGCCGCAGCGGTCGAGCGACTGCCCCAGCATCGCGATAAACAGGCCTCTCGCCCACTTCCCGGCTGTTGACTGACGCCATAATGGCAGCCGACTTTGATGTGGTGCCGCCACTCGCCCTCCCCGGCGGGCTGTACGCGCGTGTTTCAAACACGTGGTCGTGTGTCAGGCGCACGTGCATTGCACGAGCATGGGAAGCAGAAAACACGCGGTTTTTGCCGGTATAAATGATACCACGCACCGGATTTATGGTAGCGTGTCGTCTATCACATATGTGCAGAAATTAGTAAGCCGTGAATCATGTAATTGGTCGCTAGATAGACAAAACAACGGACCACATAGCGCACAACATTACGGAAATTGTCAGCGGCAGGCGAGGGGTGAGCCAGTGGAGCTCCTCTCGGCCCGGGATTCAAAGTAGGGCCCGGAACTCGGAGGCGTCGGAATGCGGTTCATGGTCCGTTCGCGTAATGAATGTCTCGATTCTTCTGGCTCTGGTCTAGTATTGTACGCGGCGAAATTTAATTCAATATATTTAGAATCGAACAATTTTAATGCGTATGTTGTGTATAGGAATTGGCTGGAAGTAGCGATTATAAGCACATATCAGAGCTGTATCGGTATCAGAGCTGTCTGAATGTAGCCTTGATCCAAAGTCACCCAATTTAAGTGTAATCGGAATGAAAGCATATTTTTTGACAGCGTTTCATCCTACAACGTAGTATGCGAGAAGTTGACCAGTAATTCACTTGTGTTGCAACCTCGTAGACTGACCACCTGTACTTACCATATATATTCGATGATCTGTCTTTACCGTCGGCCTTTCTGGAGTCATGTCAAGCTCACTATCTCGGAATGTGACGTGTAACGTTGCCCCATGTTTAAGACTTACGAGGATTTTGTTCAGGTTGTCAAACTGCTGACCACCGCTCCCCTGTGTTTCAGACTCACGATGCTATTTACGGGAGTCCAGCTCGGTCGCCACATTTTTTGTCCGGGAGGACCTGGAAGTTGGAGCCGTTATAGGTCAGTACCATTTACCTTTGTTAATTGCGTGCTATGCGTTGTGAAAGGCTGTTGCCCATGGCTCACGTCCAGCTCGCTCACATTATCTTAAGATTCGATGTCAACAGGGCGGCCTAACACAACATAATTCATAAACACTGGTTAAACAAAAAACGCCTCATATCAGTTTTACATTGGCGTGCTTTTTCAAAAATTTCCACTGACATTTTTCTCAGTAGACCACAGTAACAACAGTAACAGGCCCAATACGTGTACTGGACCAAATCTGACACTCGGCGAATTGCCAAGTAATCGCGCACTTCAAGGGAACCCACGAGTAATTTCTTAACCCTTGCTGGCAAAGGGAACCGATGTATCCCCTGGCTTTTTCAACGCAGTATATAAGACTGTTCGGCGCACTGCTTCAGTTTCCAGCTGTGCTAAACACTGCGAAATGGCCGGACGGGGAGCCGGCGAGGGTCATACCGCATGGCCCGACGGGGAGCCGGCGAGGGTCATACCGCATGGCCCGACGGGGAGCCGGCGAGGGTCATACCGCATGGCCCGAGGGGGAGCCCGCGAGTGTCATACCGCATGGGCTAACGGGGAGCCGGCGAGGGTCATACCGCATGGGCTAACGGGGAGCCGGCGAGGGTCATACCGCATGGGCTAACGGGGAGCCGGCGAGGGTCATACCGCATGGCCCGACGGGGAGCCGGCGAGGGTCATACCGCATGGCCCGACGGGGAGCCGGCGAGGACATACCGCATAGATCGCACACACGACATCTAACATTTGGGTGGAATCGACTAGCGCGATAGAGTCTAAATGGCACGGCTGGTGCATAACTGATCCCCTGTAAATGGTCATCTTATAGCCTGATCTTATACTCCGTATGAGTCCTGTGCTCGCGATGAAGTCCTCCACACCTGCGCAGAAAGGTTATCGTGGGAGTTTCCGCAGTAAAATGGTACCCTTCGTTGTTTCTTTTCAGTGCATGCATTTCAAGATTCCACTTGTTTTGTATTTGGGTGACATCATCTCACTTCAAAGTTATGCGGGTCGTTCCCATCCTGTTCACGAAACGTGACGTTTCGTTCGGCGTCCTCGCCGTCTCGCGAAGGCCATCGGCACGGGTCGCGCGCGCTGGCGGCGGGGCGTGCGACCGGCCGCCGGCGGCGCGGCGACGGTGTAACGTGTGTCGCAGGCTCCCTGACGGTGTAACGTGTGTCGCAGGCTCCCTGCCGGTGTAACGTGTGTCGCAGGCTCCCTGACGGTGTAACGTGTGTCGCAGGCTCCCTGACGGTGTAACGTGTGTCGCAGGCTTCCTGACAGTATAGCGTGTGTCGCAGGCTCCCTGACGGTGTAACGTGTGTCGCAGGCTCCCTGACGGTGTAACGTGTGTCGCAGGCTCCCTGCCGGTGTAACGTGTGTCGCAGGCTCCCTGACGGTGTAACGTGTGTCGCAGGCTCCCTGACGGTGTAACGTGTGTCGCAGGCTTCCTGACAGTGTAGCGTGTGTCGCAGGCTCCCTGATGGTGTAGTGTGTGTCGCAGGCTCCCTGACGGTGAACGTGTGTCGCAGGCCCCTCGACAGTATAGCGTGTGTCGCAGGCTCCCTGACGGTGTAGCGTGTGTCGCAGGCTCCTTGCAGGTGGTCGGCGACCCGTCGGAGCGCGGCGACATCAGCCTGAGCTTGGACCGAGGCGACTACGCCGTCACCATCCAGCCGGGCACCAGCAACATCACGCTCACCCGCGCGCTGGACAGAGAGGTAACGGCTCCTACCGCCGGCTGCCGGCGGCACGCGCCGGGTGGAGACAGGTGCAGGGGCTCGGCGAGGCTGATCCACATCATCACCTTTACTCATGCTGCATGCACTGATATGGACAGCTCCATTCATAACCCTGGTACAGTTAGCAAATACCTTACGATGAGCCAAATGCAAACAAACCCACAAACAAACACATAAAAAGTGAAAGAGGACTGTCGAAGCTTATGACAAGCTGCTAAAATGAAATGATGTTGCATCCTCCGATAAAAAGTTTTACATGATCATCACACACGCACACACACACCGATGCGGTCCCAAAGAACACCACAGCAACGACTGGTTATGTAGGTTTTGCATGTTATGCAGGTTAGCCCATCGTTGTCTCTGGAATTATCTAGATTAAATACGCGGGAATGCACAAGAAATACTAACACTAGGCACTAGAAATAGTATGGACATGTTTAGTTAGAATTAAGGATATTTTTCACTCGTTTTGTTAATCAAGGTTAGGAAGATCACTGCACACCCGCCCAGCAAGTGTCCAAAGACACCATCAGCGCCCGGTCCTAACGGGCCGCGGGTTTCGAGCTGCCGGCCCGATGAGTCTGTTTTCTCAGCAGAGGCGCCGACTCGGTGCGTGCCAGTCGATCGACCTTGGCTGTCGTGCTGCCGTAAAAATTACCCACCGGCTGCGTGGGCGCAACTTCGGAAATCAGGCCGCGTCCGGACGACGAGAGATCGATGCGTTTTTGCCCCGGCGCCGGGGACCAATCAACAGCTGTCTGTGGGTCAGCGCCGCGGTCGGCACGGGTCAATAGCCAGGTGGCTGCTCCCGGCACTGGGTCAGCTGAGCGGCCTCGGACCGCGCCGGGTCGCGACAGGAAGCGGCGGGGCGGCAGGGTCGCCGCCGCAGTCGTAACTTTAAAGGTCAGCGGAAGCTTATGCGGCCAGTCATGCCCGGAAAGTAACGATGAGTTGGGAGATGAGATCAATCCTGGCAGCTCTTCTGTCTGCTGATTTTTGTAGCGAACCGCCGCATTTTGCGGAGACAAATCAGAGCTCCGAGTGTTAGCCGGCACCTCCGCGGGCGGGGCGGACCCGCCCGTGTTAGCCGGCACCTCCGCGGGCGGGGCGGACCCGCCCGTGTTAGCCGGCACCTCCGCGGGCGGGGCGGACCCGCCCGTGTTAGCCGGCACCTCCGCGGACGGGGCGGACCCGCCCGTACCGCCGTCCAGTCCTGCCAGGCCGCACTCCCGCCATCCGCTGGCCTCTGGCCCCGGAACCAGACCCGCCCCGCGCACTTCCGTCCGGCCGGCCGGCGGGCGGGCCTCCCCCACCCCGGCGCCGAGGGCGCGCCTCCCGTGACGTGACCGGCGATCGGCTGGACGGCCGGCCGCGGTGGACGTCATTACCTCGGCCCGACTGGCCGGGACAGACACGGCCTGGGTCCCGCTACACCGCACCGCTCAGACGCCAACACGTGACGAAGTCAGAGTGCCAGAGGCAGGTGCGGGCACGTGACGGGGTCCAGACTGTCAGGGGCAGGTGCGGACATGTGACAGGGCCCAGACTGTCTGGGACAGGCGTGGACATGAGACCGGGTCCAGACTGTCAGGGGAAGGTACGGGCACGACACAGGGTCCAGACTGTCTGGGACAGACGCGGACATGAGACAGGGTCCAGACTGTCTGGGACAGGCGCGGACATGTGACAGGGTCCAGACTGCCAGGGACAGGCGCGGGCACGTGACAGGGTCCAGACTGTCTGGGACAGACGCGGACATGTGACAAGGTTCAGACTGTCAGGGGCAGGTGCGGGCACGTGACTGGGTCCAGATTGTCTGGGACAGACGCGGGGACGTGACGGGATCCGGACTGTCTGGGACAAACCTGGACACGTGACAGGATTCAGACTCTCATTGACCAGGCAAGAATGCCTTGCAGGATATGTACTTTCAGGGACATGCACAGACACGCGATATGGCCGGGAGCGAGACGTCCAGAGACAGGCTCGCAGACGAGGCTGGGTGAACATTTGCGGGGACCGACACGAGGAATAAGGCTGTATCCGGATGGTCAGGGACAGCCGCGTGTCATTCAGGCAGGCATTCAGACAGGCCTCACACACCCGGGCGGCCGAGCCCGCCGATGCTTTAAAGGCGGCTACCACGGCCATCAGCGAGCATAGCCCGTCTCCCACGCCCAGTTGTAGCCCTGTAGTACCAGACGTGCGGCCGGTCAAAGCTCACTTAGTGTATATGTAACCACACGCAGCACGTGAAAGACCTGGGCAGTGGCGCGACCACTGAGTTTGTGGCTGTTGTGCTGTCAGCAATCGATATGGCATTGACTTCCCTACCTGACGTCTTTATCTTTATTAACTGTGCTGCGCCCTGTGGCTGGTTACAGGCACAAGCGGTTCTTTGCTGCTCACTCTTAGTGTCTGCGGGACGAGGCAATGGGACGTCACGTACGCATTCCGCGGATAAAATATGACCTCATGCGGTGTCGCAACGCCATTCTTCATCACGCCAACGTGAATGCAGTCGCGCCCTTTGTCCTCTTGTATTGTACCCTCCCGCCGTCACTTTCTCCTCTTGTTGGCGCTGTTCTGGGTCCGTTGTTCGGTAATGCAGTGTGATGGTGGGCGGCGGCGTCAGCGTGACCGCTCCTGTTTGGATGTGCCCCCCCCCCCCCCCTGTCGTGCGTGGTGCCCGCCAACTGACGTCTCGCCGTCTTCCTGTCCGTCATTCCAGTCGCAAGCTCTGGACGTGAGTACGGAGTGGTTGCCCCGTCTGCGCCCCTGGTAGAGCTGCATGGCACGGACCGCTCGCTCTCACTGATACCACCTCACGGTAGCCGCCGGCTGTCCCGCTCTCCCGCACGCTGTGACATGACACGGCCCGACACCCCTGATGACACGGCTGAACACCTCGGATGACACGACTGGGCACCTCTGATGACACGGCTGGACACCCCTGATGACACGGCTGAACACACCTCTGCAGGTCGACACAGGCCAGCGATAGCATGCGGGACCACCGACACCTCCGGGACACATGACTTTGCGAACCACACCGCGGCTTTATCACCTGGAGGCTCAGACGACGCAATCCAGCGCTGTATCAATCCTTTCGAGGACATTGGTTTACTTTAACGTTTAAAGGACATTTTAAGTATTTCTGTGATCTTGGTCCCCCATACCAAAATTGTTAAACGTCCCGAAAAATGCGTGCTGATCATAATAAATAGGTGGCATGGGTGAAAGGGAGTTATACCCTCTTCCGTGCAAACATTCAAAGATAATGATACATCCGAGCTCACATAATTACATGACAGTCATTGTCCGTTGACCGTCGGAATATTGATGGGTTATAGGTATAAACACTTAAACGTGGCATAATGGTATAAATACTTTAACATATTTATAACCTGTATCCTATGTCATCCAAGCGCCCGTTCAGCCTAATCTACTGTTTTCTTAACAATCATTTCCATGCATAATGTTGCATCGTTACTGCCGATGGCGCAGGCCGTATTCATCAGCCTAGTTATAGATTGTTAAAATCCGTCTTCAGACACAGCTGTATGCACGCCCGGAGCGATCCTGGATACGGAGTGTGATCTGACTGCGTCACGACATCCAGCCGTTTCTTCACGCTTTGCTGCTCTGGACCATGCACGCTCGTCACATTAGCACGTTCGACATCCATCATGACGCTTTCTAGATCTAGCCGTTGATTTCTTGGAGATCGACCCGGTTCTGTTCGCCAACTAATTTTCTGTGTATACAAAGGTGCTTCCGCCCGGCCGCCTCGGCTTTCTAGCGGTGCGGCCGGACGCCCCTGTACGGGCGGAGCAGTGCGGTGCAGTATCGCCGGTGATCTGAGGGGCGGCGCGCTCGCCAGCGGGGCGTCTCACCGGCCGCGCTTGTTCACAGGGCCACGACGGACCGTCTTCGGTAGCGGTCAGGGTCGTCTGCAAGAGGAAAGGCACCTCGGATCCGGTGAGCGCCCCTCGCCTTCAGAATTGCGCTCGGTTCTGCTTGGGCCGAATTGATTGCGAATATAAAAAACGGTTGAAGCTTAAACTGAAACCCATTCAAAGAAAGTTTATTTATTTTACTGAATCGGAATGTAAAGCGGACTTCATTATAACTGCTGAAATTAATCCCGGTTATCATTGTGAATCCGCATTGATTAAGCACAGAACGATGCACAAGAAATGTGCATCATTGCATGCACATTATATGTATATATATATATATATATATATATATATATATATATATATATATATATATGCATACACACAGGGGAGGGAGCATCCAGAACATTGGCTAAGGGGCAGGGGCGCCGGGGTGAAAAGACCCCTGATGTTGAAAGGCCCCCACCCCTTCAAAAAGTATTCCCGGATGAAGCTCACTTAAGTTTGAGTAAGTCTAATTTGCGCCGCTTTCTTTTCCCTCCTTTTTCTTTTTAACTGAATGATGAGCCAGAAGCCAACAGCTCCGCATTTGATTCAGGCGAATAACCAATGCATCCAAATCCAAATCTGTTTCTGGGCGAAAACAGTTAAATCTATTCCGGAATCATATTAGACTCCACCGCAGTCAACCAAACACATGACTGGCTGGCACTGGGGTTCCAACAAGCCCTCCTACCACTGTATCCCAGCAGGACACCTGGTGGGCGCCCGCCCGTCACTAAACTAGTGGCGACCCGCAATCCCTTCCGGAGCGTGCCGGGTATCGCGCTCCGCCGGTGGACGCCTGCTGGAGGCCGTGCACCACGGGATGTAGCAGACGGGGAAGCGCCCGTACACCACGGGATGTAGCAGAGAGGAAGCGCCCGTACACCACGGGATGAAGAAGACGGGGAAGCGCCCGTACACCACGGGATGTAGCAGAGGGGAAGCGCCCGTACACCACGGGATGTAGCGGACGGGGAAGCGCCCGTACACCACGGGATGTAGCAGACGGGGAAGCGCCCGTACACCACGGGATGCAGCAGACGGGGAAACGCCCGTACACCACGGGATGTAGCAGACGGGGAAGCGCCCGTACACCACGGGATGTAGCAGACGGGGAAGCGCCCGTACACCACGGGATGTAGCAGAGGGGAAGCGCCCGTACACCACGGGATGCAGCAGACGGGGAAACGCGTACGCAGGGACGGCAGCATGCCGTCGCACCTTCACGATGGGCAAGGGAACCGGGCCTGGCAGGCGGGGTTCAGCAGCTCCCCCGTCAGCCCGAGCGGCCAGTTTGAGGCGGCGAGTGAGCGAGATCGATAAGAAATCCGCCGTTCGGGCGTCACGTCACGCGAGCTGGCTGTTACGGGCGTCGCTGACTGACACCCGGACTGCGCACAGCAGGCCCGGTGGGCCGACCTCGTCGGACGCCAGCGAGTAGCGCTCGGACCCGACGCTTGAGGCCATTGGCCACGGTGAGGACTGAGGGGTCAGGGTGACGGGCACGCGCCGCCCCGGCGCCCACGGAGCGGGCTACCGATCGCGGGCTGATTATTGCCGCTGGGGCGGCACTAGGGCCGTGTCCGGGCCAGATCACTCAAGCGATTGTTAGATTTACAGCTGTTATGTGAGCCAGTCACGCAGGGCTCCGATAGTGCCGGGGCGCAGGCCGCGCCTCGCTCCACGAGGGCTGAGCCCGCAGTTTATCGGCCCTGACGTCACTCTCGCATATGTTTGGTGGTAAAGTGGCAAGCGCTCATATAAAGGCGCGCGCTGTTGTTTTGTTTCTGTGGAATTATTGAAACGGATGTGTTAGTTCAATTGTTTTAAGTTATGGACTCAAATGTACGGTGTCTGTTAAAGAGACGCTGTGCTGCTGAGGGTTAACACGCGCCCGGGTGGCCGGCTAGATACCCTTCGCGCGGGTGGGGGGTCAATTTACCCCCGCCCCTAAGATCTCGGGAACTAAGAAAGCTGGAGACACCAAATTTGCAGGGTGTGTTGACCTGTAAGTGAACTCACTTATGTCAAAGGTTGAGGTCACTAGGTCATGACCTTCCTGTCAAATAAGGTCAAACAAGGCCAAATTTCAGATTGGTCTCCAAAGTGGCCCCAGAACCTTGATAACTGTTTCTAAGCAAAAGATCACAAGCTCATTTAAACTTAGTGACTTTGCTTGACCTTTTGCAGGTCATGGTGACCGAAATCATACAAGACTGCCCTGAGTTTTGCATTTGAATAAGGGACAGATTTTGCTTGGCAATGTGTTCTTTAAAAAATGTCGACCCGAGTCATCTTAGGTCAATGACCTTTTATGGTTTCTAAGAAGGCAACTGAAGATGTGTGATGCGGCTCCTGCTATCAATGAATTCAAAATGAGCACCGGAAAATACCCCCTTACAGCAAGCCCTATAGCAATAAAACAGGCTGGTTTTGACCTTGGCCTGACCTTTATACCAGACCTTAGGCCAACCTTATTTGCTCATTCAATGTTTGTGTTGCCTAATAAGGCATCCCAAACATGTGAAGCTTCGTCAAACACTCCGTTGTTGCATCAGATTGAACGATTCCCTGGAAATTGACTTTGCTGAAACCATGGCCTAATTTTGACCTGTCATAGGTCAGTGAACTTACTAGGTGCATCTAAATTTGTTACACCAAACGATCCGCTACTCAATTGCAAACAGCTATGCAAAATTTGGCGCGGCTACGCCGCGCCGTTCGGAAACCATTCTGGAAAAATCTTTGGGCAGTCAATTTGACCCCACCCGAGCGCGCGTTAATAAATGTCGAGTTGGGAACCAGTGTAGCTATGTAGACGTGATAAATTTTTCACTTTTTCGTATTGCGTGCCGTCATGCACGCAGGCATTGGCCCCTTCATCTAGATCGCAAGTGAGATCACACACTGTTTTGTGAACTTCCATGTACGCTCAACCACGTCCACCGACTTGCATTCAGACCGCTCCTTGGGTGATTCTAAAGGAACTCTGTTCACCAAAACACGCCATTTAGGCCTGGAGACAGTACAATTATATGACACCACAGCCATGAATAGAGGCGTGGTATGAATCAACTATCATATGAGGTCCCAAGCCAGGAATAGCCAGCTCCCGCCTTTTACATCCACCGCCTTGGTGCACCCACGTATCGCTGCACCCCCAAGTGATATGCAGAAACCATTGGCATGTCGGTGTCATACAATGGAAGATACACAGGCTTGAGTGTGGGCAAGAGAGAGGGCAAGAGTGTAGCTTCAGTTCAGAATAATCCTTTGGTTTGCGTTGATCTCTCCCTCGGTAACTTTACGGCTACAAGTCACGTGGTGATCCGTTTACCGTGAAAAGCGTCTCGTTTAGAACAAGTTTTAAGCATTACTTATTTGCCGAAAGACGGGGTGACGTCGCAGCACGTTTCACGGCCAAAGCGGCCAGCAGCCACCGCTGAGTTGTTGGGCGCTGGTCGCATTCACCCGAATTCTCCGCACCGGCTGATGACGTCGTGCTGCGCCCGGTCCGGCGGCGTCAGCAGACACCTCAGCGGGCGATGACGCCGGGCTGAACCGGGGCGCCGGCGCGACCGACCCTCGCCGGCGAAAGTAGCGGCCGTGCAGGTCATTGTTCGCCGAGTCAAGCCCTGTGACAGACGGCCGTCGCTGGCGGCGGCGGCGGCGGCGGCGGCGGCGGCCGGCAGTCGGCCGGAACAGCCCGCCGAGACGTGGCACGCGCCGCCCCCGCACGAAACACACGCGGCGCGCAGCCATGCCACACGTGCAAACAGACACGCCAAACGTCGCGGCCGCCCGACCGTGCGACCAGCAGCGGCTGGCGGTCACCGGCTGGATTTGAACCCTATGCAGAGCAGTAACGTGCTGTGCATTCTTTGTTCAGGTACCTTCCACTTATTTGATGTCTTGAAGCAGCGGCGTAGATTTGTAAAATGAGTTCGGGGAGCTGAACAGTCGCAAAACACGGCGAAAGGTACTCCAAAATTTACGCCAGGAAACGATTTTCTCCTCGAATTTCACCCACTTTTTTCTCAAATTTTGGCGTTGTGCTCTGGAGTCACTCGAACTAAATAAGAAATTATACCCTTTTCTGGTAGAATTGTGTTTTGACGCTGCACCGTATGGTAGCGTAAAAGTGAGTGTTCGAGGACAGCATCCGTGTATATATATATATATATATATATATATATATATATATATATATAATATATATTTGTTTAGTAATAACGACATCTTCTCATCTTTTTGTGTATGTGTGTATGCATGTATATGTCTACGTGTATTATAATACATATCACAGTCTTGGTAAGGTTTTAACTCCGAGTATCGTTGTAACGTGGGTGTAACGTAGCCAGCGTGCTCACGTGTTCTGATGGCCAGTCTTGTTTGTTTTCAGAGCATCAAGATACCGGTGAACATCCGCGTGCAGGACGTCAACGACAACGCGCCGCAGTTTATTGGCGCTCCGTACACCCTCAACATCTCGGAGGTCAGCGAACCTGTCACCGACAACCTGAACTTCAGGGCGCCGTCGAGTTTCGCTGGCATTGCAGTCGAATGAGGCACACACATTTGTGACACGTTGAAAGTCGATGGCCCAGTTGAGGGCGGAGCAGCGCTTGTTTTGACGGGGTGCGGCAACGGTAGCGTGAATGGGTGATTGGTGTAAAAGTGGCTCGCCCGCCGCGATGACGCTGGTTGAAAAGAGCCGTCCAATTCACCGGTTAAGATAACGCACGAGGTGTTCTGGCGAAATCAAGCCACAAGTCGAAGAGTAATGTGTGCGGTGCTGTCGGCGGCATGCACGAAGAAGCGCCTGCAACAGGCGCGGATACAAGGCGGCACGGGCGTGGAGAGATGGTAAAATCACTCACCACAATCAGAATGAGATCGGACGTTCCTCGGATGACTGGGCCAGCGCCATCAGACCAATCATCACCTAGTTCCAGGCCGCCGGCGGACCGCGGAACCGTAAGGCATTGTGATGCTACACTTCCATCGCTCTCCCACGCCATCATTGGTAACAGTGTCAGTTGCGAGACATAACCAGAACGCGCCGTGCACAAAGGGGTCGCAGCGAGCTCAGAGGCTAACGTGATGCATGGCCTACAAAAATCGGCGCTGCGTTCGTATGAGAACAGCAATTTCAGACCTGTGAGTGATAGTGAGTTTGGTGAGCAGAGTGACAGCCAGCAGGTACGCTTCTTTTACCACAGATCCCTTCAAATGTATGCTCTCCATGCGGACATATATTTAGCCGTGCATTTGACGGCCAGCATTCCTGTGCGGCGTGCGCCTCACACGTCCTGCCTCTGGGTAATTCTCATCGACACCAACGTCCCATTTACGAACTGAGTTTGGTGTTTCCTTTGTTACTACCCAGCAATCCCGGACGTCTCCTCCATGATGACATGGTTGCATTGCATGCCCCTTTGCTCGTCTGTTGCGCTGAATATCAATCATAAACGCCGAAATGTGAACAGGCCGCCACGCGAAGTCCATCCAAACAATACCCCACTTCCGTGACCTGCTCCGAACGCACCCATGCCTAGGACCGAGCACGAACGCCCCGACGACCGAACACACCCTCGTGCCACCCCAGCACGAGGCCCGAGCCGAGCCGCGCTCGCGGGGACGTGACCGCCGCCCCGGCCGGGTCTCCAGTTCCGCGCCGGCTGTGTTCCCCACCTGACGTCACGTCCTGTAGAGGGGAGGGCCGGCGGCAGGTGCGGCGCTCGCGGCGCGGCCTTGCGTCGCCCGGCACCTGCCGGCCGGCGGCGCCGACAGCCAGCCGCGCACGCGCCACGCGAGGGCCGTGGGAATGGCGCGAGCGCGGGCCGTCAGCGACGTCCGGCGGCCGGCTTTGTGCCGCCGCGGAAACGGGACGAGCGCGTCGAGACGACCCGGACGCGCCGTTCGCGGCGTCAGCCGAGCCGACATCCCGCCGGGGGGGGGGGGTCTTACACGGGCTCAGGCAAGACCTGGGGCGGGGTCCCGGCGGCGCCGGCCGCACGGTGCTGGGCGTGTTGCTACGTTAACTCGCGGCGCGGTTTTGCATTGCAGAATTGCTAATACGAACTGTCACCTACTCGCTGGACCCAGTACTGCCGTACATTGGGGTATCCGGATGGTCGCAGTGTTTCTCTGCTCTGTCGATCGACCGTTTGTTCGATGTGCCATTCATGGCTCAGTCCTGCCTATGTGGGCGCCCCAGATCCCGACCCGGCCTGCAGTGGAGCGTTGCGGCACAGCTGATCCTGACGGAGACCCGCTGCTGTCGGCAGCGAATGGCGGCTGTTCCTCAGCAGCGCCGCCGTGCCGTGCGCACCGTCCCCTGACCTGTCGACTGTGTCGTCCGCAGGTGACCGTGCCCGGCACTGTGGTCCTGCAGGGCATCAAGGCTGTGGACGCCGACCAGCAGGGTCCCTTCTCCACCGTCCACTACTCCGTCATCGAGGGCAACTACGCGGTGAGTGTGGGCGGCGGCCGCCCGGCAGCCCAGCAGTGACGCTGTCGCCGCGGCTGGGCTTCGAGCGCGGCCGCGAGCTCGCCCGCGCTCTGGCGTGCGTGCTGCGCTGTGGTGTTGCGAGCAGTGATGAAAAATGGTGACAAGAGTTAGTGTGGCAAAGCCATCATAACGGCCATGTGCGACTTCCAATGGGAAAATTATAAAATCTCGAACATTTCAATGGAAGCTGGTGGGGCCGCTGACAGAACGATCCTACCTCATCCTTCACCCATGGCTGTCTGCCATCTCCCTGCGGCGGCGCGGGGCCGGCGCCTTCGGACCGCGTCGGCGCCTGGCAGACCCGCGCGGCGGGCGGGCGAGGCCAGAGGCTCGCCGGCAGGGAGCGGGATAGCCGAGCTCCGCTGGGCACGGCCAGGGCTGACTCAGCCACGCAGCCGTGTACCCCTTTGTGGCGCCCGTGTCACGCTCGGTGATGGCCGCGTCACCCGAGGCGTGCACGTCACCCCGCGCAGGATGAGGCCATTGCCGAAACACCGGGTCACAGGCATTGAGTCATCGTCGCCGGTAAGGCCGCGTGACGTTCGGTCCAGAGTGTTTCGGCCTAGTCTCGTCACAGTTTTCGAGGCCATCGCGTCATCTTTTTGCAGACCTGTTTTTGCGTTTCGTGATTAACGGCGCATGTCGCCGCTGCTGGTGTGCTGCCGGCGCATTTTATCCTGACGCTGGACTGTGATGTGAACGATGCAGCTCAGTGTGGGAACGGGCGCGAATTAACACACCGTCGTGGCCGTGGTGGTCCTGTTTCGGATCGCAATCGCTTGTTTCAATGGCATCAACATGTTGAAGGGCATGGGATGGTTCCCACTGCCAGCTCTGCATGCATGGTGTTATCCATGACGCCCGCTGTGGAGGTGGTCACGGGGACTGAAGGTGGACCCGCGAGTGACTTATTCCAGCTGGAGTGACCTGCTCCAGCCCGGTCCGGTCCGGCCGTCCGCTCTTGACAGGGTGATCGGAAGTTTTGCTGTCTGATTTCCACAGCCATTGCGTGCGAGTCGTTGAATCTGACGCGGTTTTCATTCAGAATTGCTTTGTGTCCGATAAACATGGTAAAGAAGCAGACAACTGTGAAAACTCTTCAAACTCGGGTCGAAACTAGGCTCAGCTCTCGACAACGGGAATGTCGTGGCGTTTGATGCAGGCATACCGTGGCAGCGGCAGGAGAACGGCACGTGGCGTTTGCAGCAGCGACAGGAGAGCAGCACGATTTTACCCAGGAAAGAGTGCGATCGCAGTGACGATACATAGGCGTGACCCCGTGCAACAGGTCAAGCGCGCTCAGGTGCACCCGGAAGGTACCCGACTTTGGCATTGTTTTATTAACGCCGGATGCTGATAACCAGAACAGGTGAATATTTGAAACGAGCCGCATGGTGTGAGCAATGTAAATGTTGTTTACTGACCGCCTAACCAGATCGGAACTGCCAGATCGGTACGGTAGCCAGAGATCGATTGCACAGCCGCCGTTTCCGCAATTTCAAACTTGGTTGTGGAAAGGCTCGGATCGTGGAAATAACGATCGTTACCACGTTTATTTTCATGATCTACTGCATTTTACCGATTACCTTTGACCATTGCACCAACAAAATGGTGGGTTTTGTGAAAAAACTCTTTTACTAGGAACGAAAACGTGAAATAACGCAGCCTCACCGATCCCGGCTGTATAAGGGGGCAGGCATACCGCAAGTCAATACTACGCAACTCGGTTTGTGAATATGCTTGGATGCTGAGTGCGTACATCCGTCGCCTGTCTCTCCTGGGAGATTCCATGATCAAGAACCAACGTGATTATTCTAACTGGTGAGCTGTCCATCTTTGACATCACACCATCCCACGCCAAGTAATACATCTGGTCACAGCTGTCCCTTGAGTGATGGGCCAGTAACACTGGCATGCGTGTTTTTACGCCAGTCGAATAAGCCAGCACAATGGACATACTGCTGTTGTGTACAAGCGAGCAGCGAACATCCGCGCTTCAGTGCAATATCACTTTGCCAGCTTCCTGTGGACGGTGTTTTGTGAAAGTGCATGAGTAATCTGGCCAGGTTTGTTTTATCGAGATGTCAACACTTGTCTGGCTACTGAGTTTAAAGGATAAGTGGGTGTCGTTGAAATTGATGAACCGGATGCACGCATCCACGTGAGACATGTGACGTTTGATCAAATCAACCTTGAGTGGCCTATTTCGGTTTGTCGCCGCGGCCATAGTTATTCGATGTTATCGATGCGTCTGCTGCCGAGATTTCTGGGGCCGCAGCAGCCAGGCGCTTGAGGAGGTGCCAAGGACAGTGCTGGGCTGTGTGACCGCCGACTTTGCTGCCGACGTTTGCGGACCCGCTGCAGCCAGACGTGCGGGCGGCCGCGTCCGCCCTGCTCCAGCCGGCTCCGCTCGGTCGGCGGCCTGAGACCAGCCGCCGGCCTGCCAATGGGTGGCGCTGGTGTCTGTCGCGGCCGCTCAGCCGCCGCCGCGCTCGTCATCCGCTGAGTCGGCGGTGTGCTGGTGCGGCTGGGTGGCAATGTCACCCTTACGTGCCGGCCTGCCGCACTGTGGCCCAGTCCCTCCCCTGAGGCTCCTGCCACAGTCGTGTGGTCAGGGGCTGCGGCCGCCCGCGGCCTGCCACACTGTGGCCGAGTCCCTCCCCTGAGGCTCCAGCGGCAGTCGTATGATCAGGGGCTGCGTCCGCCCGCGGCCTGCCACACTGTGGCCCAGTCCCTCCCCTGAGGCTCCTGCGACAGACGTGCGGTCAGGGGTTGCGGCCGCCCGCGGCCTGCCACACTGTGGTCCAGTCCCTCCCCTGAGGCTCCTGCGACAGTCGTGTGGTCAGGGCTGCGGCCGCCCGCGGCCTGCCACACTGTGGCCCAGTCCCTCCCCTGAGGCTCCTGCGACAGTCGTATGATCAGGGGCTGCGGCCGCCCGCGGCCTGCCACACTGTGGCCCAGTCCCTCCCCTGAGGCTCCTGCGACAGTCGTATGATCAGGGGCTGCGGCCGCCCGCGGCCTGCCACACTGTGGCCCAGTCCCTCCCCTGAGGCTCCTGCGACAGTCGTATGATCAGGGCTGCGGCCGCCCGTATCGGTTACCGCGGGGCATGACCCTGCTGAGCACGGCCGGGACGCCCCGGCGTGGCGTACGATTCGGGAATGAGGATCGGGTGATGGGGTCCTGCTCCACATACTACGGATCACATCGTTTGCGTTAGACGGTACACACCTGACGCACCGGCGCAAGTGCACCGTACAACTCGCCCTTTCCGTCCTGAGCACTTCAAACTAAAGCGGAGGCCGTGTTTGCGGCCTGCAGCATTTTCAAATAAGACATGACCCATCCCCCGTATGCCCTGATCGACAGAGCTCCGCTCTGTTGGTGGTGACGACTGCCGTGGGTAACGACCGGCTGTGCGTGGGTGGGGTCACCCCTGACGACTGCCCCGTGCCTGGCGGGACCGAGCGCCCCGCCATAGATCATCATTTAGGACGGCAGTCCGACCACGCAGTACCGAGCGCCTGGCGGGGTAAACGGCGCACTGCGGCGTCTTGTCGGCGCTGGTCCTCGCGCCGAGGGAGGCGCTGTCGGGGACAATCTGTCACTGCGGTAGATGCGTCTGAGACCGCGTATCGTGACCGGGGGAGTGTCCGAGGGGTGCGGGGAGGGGCGGGGGCGGGGTGACACCGACGGAGTTGCAAACATGCATCTGTGACTCAAGGTCAGCCCCATTGTGGGACTCTCGTGCTAGGGTGGACTTCCAAGGGCATAACGGTAATATGCCGGTGTTTGGGACGGTAAGACGCCTGTCGTTTGTTTATGACGCGGTGTGTTGCTGACGAAGGACGCTTCCGGGCGCGAACTGCCACAGCTGTGTGATGCCTGAGCTAGTGAATGCTAGCGAAATTGAATTAGAATATCCCGGCAAATCCACTCTAACGAGTGGCTGCCGTTGAACGTTGTTAGCGCTGACAACAGCTGCACCGGTAGCTGAAAATAAGCAGATAATGGATGGAAAACCCGGCAACAACCAGCCACGGCGGCCGTAACAACCGCGGAGCGGCTGCGCGCCTGACTCGCGTCTTATATGCGTGCGCCTGCTTCCCTGCGCAGGAGTACATCGACTTCGCCAACGGTCTGGACGGCACGCTGCGGCTGAAGCAGCAGTTGGACTTCGAGAAGGTGCAGCAGTTCCGGCTCACGCTGCGTGCCGAGGTAAGGGCGAGCAGGAGACCTCGTCCGGCGCTGCAGGCTTGGGGTGGCGGTGCTGCGTGGGGTGTCTGGGCCAGGTCTGGCATTGGGCTGGCGACTCGCAGTGTTCACGGTTCACCTAGTTCACCACCAGTGTCGGCGGTTGCACTTTCGTGGACGGCGATCAGCGTTTTAGAACTGTGTTGTTGTGAACCCGATGCAATGAAGTGCTACTGCGCTGTAATTATAGCGTGAAGGGCCTTGTTTCTTGTGGAACATGGAAACCCTCTTCGGTGCCATGCGACTTGCTGAATTCCTCAGTCCAGATAGGTGAAATTCCGGCATCTTAATTCCTCATATGTCTGTCAAGTCGGGCTAACGACGTTGCCGAGCCAACGGTCCTTTACGAACATTCCAAACTAAAACCCGAATCCCTTTTCCTGGTGGCCTCTGTTGGGGCTAACTGCGAGCTGACCGTGCCACTGCAGGACCAGGGTGACCCCGTCAAGTCGACCGAGGCCGTGCTGACCGTCAATGTCATCGACGCGGACGACCAGAACCCACGCTTTTACGACGACCGCTACGTCACGACACTGCCTCGGCGACCAGTCCAGGTTAGGGCGGGCGCGCCGCCGCGATGCCGGAAGTCGTCGGGCGCCGCCAGGTGGTGCTGCAAGCTGGAGGACGCTCCCTCAAATGCCGAGGGCCAGGTTGTCGGCCAGGTGCTTGATCTTCTGTGTTTCAAAGGGCGGGATTACGGGAAGATCAGACAGCCCTAATGTTATCCATCTCATCCAAGACGGTTTGGCAGGATATGCGGCCGTTTAGTCACACGGAGTTAGCCTTCCGCACCCCGGAAATTATCATTTATCCGCCGCAATGTCGTGTATTATGTGCTCATGACTGGAGCCAGCTTGTCAGGCCACTGCACCCGTTTAAAGGCCTGATTAACGTGTCTGCCTGTGGTCTAGGGCAACACCCTCACCATACGGCCCCGGCGAGTGCGAGCGTTTGACCAGGACATCGGCATCAACGCTCCTGTCGCCTATACGTTCACCGCAGGTCAGAGAGGGTCACGCTGCGGGTGCTGGAAGATATTCCGACAACCAATCACGACACTGTCATCGTGCTGCGTGCAGCCACCCCGCAACCCCACTTATAATAGTGGCGAACCAGGGCCTCTTTTAAGAAATTAAATTATGTGGAGGGAGAGGGGAGGATCCAAAGGAACTGACCAGTCCCAGATATGAATTCACCTAATCCACCCCGAAAATCGTTTGTCCTCAGATGTAAGCCTTTTTTTGTCAGATAAAAAATGGTCAAAGAGATGAGCAGATTGGCTGCGATATATCACGGAGCTAAAGCGAGGCCAGATCAGGATTAGAACGGGTGTAAATGGGAGTGGGAAATCAGAGCAGCGGGATAGGGATTTGGCCGAGTGCGGGCCCTCCCCCATAGTTAACGTGTTGAAGGCCCTGTTGTAACGGAAACCACCCCGCTGCGCTATGCGTTTGAGCTGCATCCGTGCAGAATTACTAATACAACCAAGCTAAGCTCATTAGCATTTGTCGGATTATTTTTCCACCATCTGGACATCATCCCCATTATCCCAGCGGACCTGAGTGCTTGTCAAAGGGCTTTGTGTCGCGACCGATCCACACGCTCAGCTGACTTTAACGTCTGCTGGTTTCCTCTACCATGCTGCGTTCTATGTCCGCGGTCCCGATCCTGGACGTTGCCATGGTAACCCGCAGCCGCGCCAGATCTCCGCTGTGTCTGGTCGCGTCACCGTGGTGACTGCGGGGGCGTTATACGGCCCGGACCGCGCAGTCCGGTGTCCCTGACGCTGACGTCACAATCCCGTGCCGGCAGACGGCGCCGACTCGCGCTATTTCGCCATCGATCCAGAGACGGGAGACATCACGATCGCCGAGACGATTCCGGACTCGGAGCTGCTGCAGCCGATCACACTGGTCGTCAAGGTAACCGTGTGCGGTTCGCTTAACCGGCGGAGACAACGACTTAGCCGCGAAAATCGATTCACACCGGGTTTGATAAAGAGTCGCTTCACACCGGGTTTGATATAGGGTAGATTCACACCGGGTTTGATATAGGGCCGATTCACACCGGGTTTGATATAGGGCCGTTTCACGTAAAAAGGGGCTCGCTTGGCTCCATCTCAAGCTAACGCCTTGTTCAATGTTACGGGAGCTTCACGAGGCGAATATCCCCACCGAGATGCCTATGGGCGTTCAGACTTGCTCACCCAGCGGAAATGCATGGCCCTGCTGTCCAACAGGGTGTAGCCATGGGTGGGTCTGCGTGCTTTTCAAGCCAGCTGGCGCAGATGATGATTATTTGGACTTAAGCGCACACCGAACACCCTGGTCACATGGCGCTCATTTCAAGCCAGCTCCTTTGGTCTGCATGGACCGCAGCTATGGAAATGAGGAGAGATGTAAACAGCTGACAACACGGTAGTACAGCGGCCACCCCACGCCAGCAGCGCCCTGCCTGCTCGCGCGCCGCCACTGTCACGGCCCTGATCAGAGAGTCCTGTGACCACTGCCAGCCCCCTGCAGTCCTGTTCGGAGCGCGCTGTGGTCGCTGACGCTGTGGCGCGGCGGCAGGCGACGCAGCAGGACAACGGTGACCGGTACGCGCTGACGACGCTGACGGTGCGCCGCGAGGGCGTGTTCACGGACGAGCTGCAGTTCGTGCAGGGCAACTACGTGGCCAGCGTGCTGGAGAACCGGCCGGTCAACTCTGTCATCCTCACCGTCATCACCAACCGGCCGGGCGACAGCGTGAGTGCTGACGTCGCCGAAAGGGAGATGGCGGGGGTTTGCCTTTTGCTAGCAGGTGGCGCACTCGCCCTTTTGACGCCCGTGTCACCGGCTGATGGCGTTTTCGGCTGGGATGCTCGTTGCAAAAATGCGAAGTGTTTTAAGCTTTGGAACTCCATAGTGAGATCTGTACTGGTCATTGATCATACACGTATGATCTGGCGGGCTGTTGTTAACGTCGTCAACTTCGGCTGCAGCGAGTTCGTTTCTTCCTGCCTGATGAACCGAGCCAGTTCACCATCATGAGAAATGGAGACTTAGCCCTGGTCGATTCGTTGGATTACGAGACGCAAGACAGACTCAACTTCTCCGTCGTGGCAACAGATGGCAGGCAGGTCAGTGCGCCTTTCTTCCGATCTCTTGTCCATGGACAACGCATGGGGACCGAGCGGCAATGTCGTTTGCTCGGCGTGCATTTCATCTTATAGCACCAATCTGAAGACATTGATGTTCCTTCTTTAGACAATGAACCGTTTGTTCAACAGCCTCGATTGTCGTTTCCTGGGCAAGTGCTCAGGACGTATGCGCAGAGATGCTCCGGCGACCTTATGAACGTCCGCGGCTCCCAGTCACCATCGCGTGACTTGGACTGCCCGGACTGCAGCCGGCACAAGACGCAGAGTAGCCGTCTGTGCCCGGTCGTCCTGCCGTCCCGTGTCGCCCGCCGCCCCGTGTTGTTTGCCATGCCGCTGTGACCCCTCTCCGCCGCCGTCACCAGAACGACACGGCGATGGTGACCATCATCGTGCTGAACGTAAACGACTGGGACCCGCGCTTCCGCCATCCGAGCTTCGACTTCGTGGCGTCGCCGAGCTCGCGTCCCAGTGACGTGGTGGGCCGACTGACGGTTTACGACGGCGACCGCGGCGATCGCGTCTCGCTCGGGCTGATGGGGCAGGACGCCAGGTGAAGGACGGGACGGGACGGGACGGGACGGGACGGGACGGGACGGGACGGGACGGGACGGGACGGGACGGGACGGGACGGGACGTGGGACGGGACGGCTGTTCTGATACATCTTGGCTTCGCTCGCTAAAAGCCGTGAACCGTCTTCAAGGAAGCACCGGTTGGGGCAACTCATCACATGCACTGGCGTCCACGGGCTTCGGTCGCGCCCATTTCATCTGTATTTGTTGTTCGTTATATGACGGTGCAGTGCGGTCTTATTCAAGACGTCGGACTCACAGCCAGCCACCAGAGCACGGCGCGGCTTCTGTTCACGGCCGTGTTTCTTGCACGTGGCATCTCACGCGGAGAGCAGCGGCCATCCCAGTCCGCCCCGGTCAGGCGGTGACCCGGCCCGGGTCCCCGTCAACACCACCCGGTCAGAGGGGACTGAGGTGCGCGGGCCGCAGCTCGCGCCAGGCCCGGTGATGCTGCCTTAACCTCAGACGGGCTCAGCCCTGCCGCAGGGGGTCAGCCCACGGCGTCAGGTTGGAGTCTCCTATTCAGCTGGAAAGGGTTCTAGCCCCACCCACCCCAAGTAACACTGAGAAGAACTGTGCCCGAATGTGGGGAGAAGCCTGTTTTGGCCTACTTCGGGGCAGGTCTATCCGTTTCTATCCAGCCCCCTGCCTAGTTTGTGGAAATATACCCCTGGGTCAAGGCAATCAAGCCATACTAAATGCTGCCTTCCAGCTCTGGTGGGGTGGTAGAACGTATATTTGCCTCATTGATGGTGGCACTTGGAGGGGTGGTTCACTTACTAGGACCCCTTTCGCACTATCTTCACAACGTTTTCCACGTTCTTAATGTCCGGAAGGGGCGCATTGAGTTGAACTTGATACGGGAGGCTGATTTCGCGGTGCAGATGTCCTGGTGTACTGTTTTTATTTGTTTGTTTTCTTGTATGTACGGACTTGATTAACGTCTACGTTTGTTCTTGCGCTGGTTAGGTGAAATCATTCCGGTTTATCGATCCCATGCAGTCATTTTAACGCGCAGAGCAGTCTGTTCAGCATAAAACCTTCCTGAAACGTTCACGCTGTTCCCACCGATACAAATGTCCTGTGTTAAAGTACTGTTAAGCTTCATGAACGCAAACAAACATTGCCGACGCGCTTGTCAACCTATATTTCCTGAAGCTGTATTCTCAAACGTCACTTTCGTCTTATCGACCGGTCACGAGGGTTGATCTCTCGGCAGAGCTTTCTCCGTGTCAAAAGAGGGTGACCTCGTTATTCGCGACCTGAGCGTGCTGAACTCGTCCGTGGCGCACCTGGTGGCCGTGGCCAGAGACAGCGGGGTGCCTCCTCGACGGGTACGTACCGCAGCGGCGGCGCTCGCCGGCGCCGGCAGGGGGCGGTGCCGGCGCCGGCCCGCGCCGTAGCGTCAGCTCATAGCTGACGGGATCCATGCCGGTTAATGCTCCTACTGTGAGACGGGCTCTAGTGGCTGGCTTTCTGTACCTTTGGCTGGACGGTCACGACATGCAGACTATGTTTGGGTCTTTAGAAACGTGCACGGCATTACGCACCGAGGAAAGGATTATTAGGGCCAAGTGCGGCGTGTACTCCGAAGTTGTTGAAAGCCCGGTGCAGCGTGTGCTCCGAAGTTGTCGAGAGCCCGGCGCGGCGTGTGCTCCGAAGTTGTCGAGAGCCCAGTGCGATGTGTGCTCCGAAGTTGTCTAGCGCTTCGGCGCGGCTTCCGACCCCGTTCCGAGATTTCAGAGGTCATCGGTTCCTGCCAATATTCACTCACATCTATTCTTTCGTCGTACAATCCTGTGTGTGTAAAGGCATCACTGCAATGGGATTGAATTGCTGCCTGTACTCAAAGGTCTCGGGCCCCGAGTCATTTTGGCTCCCAGTTCCCTCGAGTGTCGTGAGACCTGGTTTACTAGATGAAGAGCCAGCCGTCCATGCTCGACGCCTGGGTGAAGGCAAGTTGGCTTCAGTATCAGCTATCCTCTCGCTTGCCTGCATATTTCATACCACGAACCTTAACTGGTCAGAAATGCCGAAAAAAACAGTTCACACGTGAGCATTCGTCACTGCATCTACGAATCGTGCACACGGTCATCCGCTTCCGGCCGTCTGGGCGGACTCTGGCACTGTTTGGACATACGCGCTGCTTATCTCGCGCGTCGCGCGTTAGTTCGCGGCCGGCAGTGGTCAGCTCCGTGAGAACGGAAGCGTCTCGTGCTGTTCCCCGAACGGCGCCGCCAGGCCAGGCGCGCCGGCTGGAGCGGCGGGTGGGACGGACACGCGCCAGCCGCCCGCGGTGCCACCGCCGGCGCCGCGGTCCGTCTGGCCGTGACGTGGCGGCCAGCTGCGCCCAACTTCCCGCCGGCAGAAGTATTCGCCGGTGGGATTTCCCTTAGTCATTTCGCTAGCTACGCGTGGGCTGCGGTCATACCTACTGGGTGGCCAGATTTGATCAGTGGACCCATCTGGCACCCATACGTTCACATCTGTCTAAGGCCTTTGGTGTGAACTGTTGAAAATGGAATACAATTTTACCTCTATATTTACACTGTTTGCTTTTAAAGTCCAAAGTGATGTAACTGGCATTAGTTCTGGTCATTTTAAAGCACACCTTGGTTAGCGCACAATATATTTCGTCAGATGGGAAAGGTATTGTTTGGAAGCGGCGTCAGCTGTTTGGCGGATTCTTTTTCCTAAAACGTTTCGGACCCGTGCTCCATCGGATTTGCTGCGAGTTTGCAGCGTGTGCGTACGCCCTTCCTAGACGATCCTTTTACTTCTTAAAGTTCCGCTAACGGCTGGCAAGCTTTGGCATGAAATGAACACCATTTCACCGCAGGTCTCCTGGTGCTGAAGGTTTGCTTCGTACGCTGGTAGCCAGATTAGGTGCAGCACTGGATTTGATTGCAGGCTGTTGTAGCTGAGTTCGACGGAACCTTGTCGGAAGTTCACCGTTGTTCAGGGCACCCCACGCCAGTCGGCCGCAGAGGTTCAGAACCTCGTCCGGCATGTAGCCCCTGGACCGGAGGGCGAGCCACATCGCATGGGGGAGCGCCTACGAACGTGGCTTTTAGCTGCGGGTAGGCGGCATGTCAAGCTTCGCTTTTCATGCTGACATGTAAGGAATAACGCATCCCCAGAACAAACTTTGCGTGGCGCCACCTGACCGTCAAGTGGGTGAAAATAAAACGCGCAGTATTGGGCGGTGTTTCCTCAGATATGCGTCCGGCATTTCATAAATGTCCTAACCGTACTCATACCTGCGATTTTCCCCAAACACCATCCCAGTCCGTTAGCCATTCCATATGGATGTCCATTGCATCCAAACCGCGGAAGCCTTCGGCCAGCGGCCCGTCTTCGACCTGCAGCTCCCTGCTCTGCGGGCAGTCGGGCCGGCGCAGGTCGACTCGCGGCACTGACCGACAGCACCGTCACGCCGCATGACTCCAGGGAGTTCATCACTCGAGGGATAACATGTGAAGCAGGTTTTCGACTCATCAGCTCAGCCCACCGGGCAGTGATGAACTGCCACTCAACCCGGCACAACACTTGGAGCCATACTTCGCGAGGGAGTCGCTCTTTAGCAGCTAAGTTATAGTCTCGGTGCAATGTGGTCTGCTAGTACATAAATGTCCTAATGCAGGGTTCCCGGGTTCGGGCCAGCCACACATAACAACTCTTTTCACGCTAGATGTAAAGACAGGACCTGCTTTGATACCCAATTCGAAATGTACAAAAGCTTGGATAACCAAGAGCCAAAGGCCATCGTTTGTCATCAGCTTTATAGTTGACCACTTACGGCTTGGGATGCCCCTGAACATGTGTGCATAGAAAGGACAGTAGGCTGCTGAGCCCTGCATGGGACATCTGGTCATGCATCTCCCTGGGCTCCCATGTTTGGAAAAGAATGTTGAGATGCGTGATAATAAAAAGTGCAGTCCACTTATCCCTGGACGTCTGGGTAATGGAAATTCCACCAGATTTGTGGCCGGAATTTTTCCGAAAAACAGCCGGAAATATTTAATTAAATCGCCTCGACCGAAAAAAAATCGTCATACAGCCGCTGACGTGCTCGCTTACTGATGCGTATCCCTTGGTGCCCTCCAAATAAGGGAAGTTATTACACTTACTAGCTATCCTTGACTTGCCACAGGCCTTGCGGGTCGTAGTCAAATTTCAATGAGAACGTGCGCTCTCGGCATCCGCATCAAACAACTGCAGTTGGAGCACCACACGCGATGGTAGGCTTCCGGGGGGCTGCGCTGGCGGCCGGCTCCGCACCGCCCCCGGGGGTCAGCCCGTGGTCAGGGCTGCCGAGGGCTGTGAAGTCCAAGGCTGGCGCCGGCTGAAGCCTATGAGGGAGGGGGTCGGCCGCGCCCGCTGGCGGAGCTGCTTCCGCCGCCGCCGGCGGACCGCCGCTGAGCTCTGAACCGATCCTGTCCCGAGTCACGACCCGCTGCCGGCTCAGACGGATGCCAGACGGTGGAATCCCATGGTGTGCGGTCCGAGCGCTCCAGACCGCGGACATCGCTGCTCCTCAGCCTGCAGGGACGCGTGGCCATGGCGCGGTGACCTCAACTCGCTGAGCTCCGCACGCCGCGGTCAAAACCTGCCGGCTGGACACCGACACGTAGGAGGCGCTCAGCAGATTATGCAAGCGGAACCGCACTGCGTGGAATTCACGCATGGTTCTGAATTTGAAACTTCACCGCGCTTGTTGCTAACGCCCTTGTCTGACACCGTCGGACAGCTGTTCAGTCCCGCGATGCCGTTTGGATACCGCAGTGCGGTGCTGCTGTTCCCTTTGAGGCTTTTTCGACATCAGGGATCGAAAGTGCTGACATTTCAAGGTTTGCGATGTGCTAAACATGGCACTCCCCCTCTTCATCCCAACAGCGATGTCATGCTCGGTAAGCGTACTTTGAAATGCTAAACCTTTGAACATAGCCGCCTGAGGATACACTACGAGGGTGCTGCAAACACTCTGAAACTACTGCCTGTCACACTTTTCACATAGCCAGTATGGGAATGAGAGGGATTAGTTTGAAGTTCACTGGTGTGGCCAAATCCAACAATCAGCCGCACCGCGTGATATCTCCCACTTCCATGACAGTATCTCAGACGCAAAACTGCTGTTGATAATATGCAGTAACGTTGGCATAAAAACTAGCGGGCGGGCCTTGACAGTATGAAACGTCATGTCATCACGACCACATGCGACGCTGGTTTTCATCACGACCACAAGTCATACCCCAATCACTGCCATCGTCTGGGAGGGAGCCAGTCGAGGAAAACCCTACCGAAGTCAGGCTTGATCCAAAAACCTCTCACCAAGATTGGCGACGTATGACCAGCCGCGTCACCGACGTGGTCCAAACAAATAAAGATATACACCCGAAACTCGCTTCTGGCGGTGGATCTCTATTATCTCTACGATACATGTTCTGAGGTTTTCATTTCAGAGAATGATGCCAAGTTAATGTTTTCTTTCCAATTTTGGTTTCAGGTCTATGTAGTAGAAACGCAATTTTGTAATCCAAAACTGCACTTCTGCTGATCTCAATTTTTTCAGTGAGTATCTCGCTTTGTGCAATGTGCAGCGTGAGAACCCGATTCAGTTTGTAATTGCTCTTCAATGCGGTGGAAATCGTCGAAAACTGTGGTGTTGAACTGTGGTGTTGAACTGTGTTGTTGAACTGCGGTGTTGAACTGTGGTGTTGAACTGCGGTGTTGAGCTGTGGTGTTGAACTGCGGTGTTGAACTGTGGTGTTGAACTGCGTTGTTGGACCGTGGTGTTCAACTGTGGTGTTGAACTGTGGTGTTGAACTGTGGTGCTGAACTACGGTGTTGAACTGCGGTGTTGAACTGTGGTGTTGAACTGTAGTGTTGAGCTGTGGTGTTGAACTGCGGTGTTGAACTGTGGTGTTAAACTGCGGTGTTGAACTGTGGTGTTGAACTGTGGTGTTGAACTATGGTGTTGAACTGTGGTGTTCAACTGTGGTGTTGAACTGCGGTGTTGAACTGTGGTGTTGAACTGTGGTGATGGACTGTAGTGTTGAACTGTGGTGTTGAACTGTGGTGTTGAACTGCGGTGTTGAACTGTAGTGTTGAACTGTGGTGTTGAACTGTGGTGTTGAACCGTGGTGTTGAACTGTAGCGTTGAACTGTGGTGTTGAACTGCGGCGTTGAACTGTGGTATTGAACTGCGGTGTTGAACTGTGGTGTTGAACTGCGGTGTTGAACTGTAGTGTTGAACTGTGGTGTTGAACTGTGGTGTTGAATTGTGGTGTTGAACTGTGGCGTTGAACTGTGGTGTTAAACCGCGGTGTTGAACTGTGGTGTTGAACTGCGGTGTTGAACTGTGGTGTTGAACTGTGGTGTTGAACTGTAGTATTGAACTGTGGTGTTGAACTGTGGTGTTGAACTGCGGTGTTGAACTGTGGTGTTGCCACGCAGTTGGTGTAAGCTGCCGATCACCTTACATCGATTTTGATCCACCTGGTTCTGGACTCAGACGCCTTCCATTCTGGAGCTGGGCTGTGGGCTGGGCGTTAAAGTAATGTGGTAGCGAATCCGTCACGTGTCACAGCCAGTGAGCCTCCGTCACAGGGGTCCAGTTTCGCGTGAGGGAGGCTGCTGAGTAGGAAAAATGACTAAGCCTTCCCCTAGCTGCACTAAGAATAAGACACTCGTCGGATATCACCCATTTTTCTTACAAAGTTAGCGAGTTAGAGTCCTCCAATTAAAAACTACACTCCTGCTCCAACATGTTGCCTTGTTCTGTCTCGGCGAGAGATGTCATCGGCATCGTTGTCGTTTTCCTGGGCGTTGATGATTGACACCAGGTTTCGGTTATATACGTGGGGTGGATGGCATAGGCTTTCAGACGTTGCTGGAGGTGTACGGCTTCGGGAGTAGAGAGTCTCTGAAATCTCCAGCCGGCAGCCGCACGGCGGGCTGCAGGCTGCGTGGAAGCACCCACGTCAGGCATGCCCGACAAAAGTAGTGTTGTTTTGGTGGTCATTGTCGGATGATAACCGCTATCGGGTCAGCCGGCTGTCGGCTGTACTCGGCTGTCGGCTCTTGGTCGAGTCTAGTCGGTAATGGTTCTTGCGAAAGCAGATGGCTAGCGAATTTGCCAGATGTGCGGGTGTTAATATTCGACCGGTTTGTTTGAATCATCCGGTAAGTCGTGGCAGAATAATAAAACTTGTTGCGTCTCGTAGAAGCTAAAACATTGCTTAAGAATCGCAAAACACGCAGACAATAACACAGAACCAGACCGAAGTGAACAAGGCATGTGCATCATGCAATTAAAAACATGTAGCATGCAGCAGAAACAGAAAATACGTTACGAGCTCATTGCTATAAAAGTATGGCTAGCTCAGTTAGCTGCGCTCAGTTGGCCGAGTTTTCGCGGTTTTAATTTGTTTTGTCCCTTTTATCGGTCAAACATTTATTTAGACCTTCCTTAAAGATGATGTAATTATGAGCTCACATTTTTAATTTTCTGAATAGAGCCAGAAGGTTGGAGGAAGTCAATATTGGGTGGGCCAACTTGGACATTGGAGGAGGGGCAGTGACACCCCTCCCCCCCAAGAGGATATAAATGGACACCCATTGCCTCAAGGCTTACAAGATGTGGTAAAGGTGAGGCAAGTTTTCCCTGATTCAAGGTGCAGGCCTCTTACCTTTGCACTGGTGCAAGAACTGGGAGACCAGAGAGGTGAGCTCCCCCCCCCCCCCTTCAGCGTGGACTGGAAAGAAGTGCTCTAAAATGGCGTGAGCTCCCCCAACTTGGGAGGATTTCCTTTAACCATGTATCTTTGCGTACAAGCACTTTGCCTGCTCAACCTGACCCAAGATCCTCACCAGCACGGCTCTGCATCGGAGAGCTACTCGTATGTAGGCAAACGCGCTGCCAAAAACCGTGTCTGAGATGGTGAAGTTCAGCCCAGCACGACAGTTGGCAACAGTTTGCGCTGGTGAAGTCCAGCCCAGCACGACAGTTGGCAACAGTCTGAGCTGGTGAAGTCCAGCCCAGCACGACAGTTGGCAGCAGTCTGAGCTGGTGAAGTCCAGCCCAGCACGACAGTTGGCAGCAGTCTGTACTTCATATAAGACGCTTGCACCACGTTTGTGCGATGTTTGCCGGCAGTCATGCTCAAATGGTTCGAAATTTTAATATACGCGCTCGGTAAGTGGATTCCCGTTCAAGTCCCCGGGTATTTGCGGCGCGCGTGTAGTGTTAAGGAACCAGCTGATGCAAATGGTTCGGCATTTCAATATACGAGCTCAGTGAGTGTGCTCCTATTCATGCCCCGCGGTATTTACGGCGCGCGTGGCGTTAAGTAGCCCCGCGCTTGCGCAAGTGACGCTACTAACCTTGCGGCGACCCCCGCGGGGCGTCACCGCTGCCGGGACTGACACCAGACGCGTCCTCTGTTTCAGTCCTCGGTGCCGGTGACCTCGCGGCGACCCCCGCGGGGGCGTCACCGCTGCCGGGACTGACACCAGACGCGTCCTCTCTGTTTCAGTCCTCGGTGCCGGTTACCGTGCGGTTTCCGCAGGAGCTTCTGGGCCCGAGCACGAGGGCCGAGAGCTCTCTCCTCTTGATGATTATCTTCGGGGTGCTCCTGGGCGTGCTGATACTGGTTATTGTGACCTTGGCCCTCTACATATGTAAATAGTAAGTACTTGAACTGGTTATCGTGATCCTGGGCCCTACGTATGTACATAGTAAGTAGCTGACTTTTTAGTAAGCGAGCATCGAACAACGTGCCATATGGGTGGTAACGAACCAGACGCAGTTCCGGTTCAGAGAGGCGCACGACCTCTGCAGAGTATCAGATTGGCAGTAGTGGTAGCAATGTTTTTGCGTCTACGTTTCACTGCCCGTCTAAGTCCGCATCCTCTTTCCGTTGCGGCCACCCGTGCTGCCGGGGGAATAACGGACCCACCTGTGTCCGTGCCCGGGGTGAGCAGCATTGCCGCCGGCAGCGGAGGTATGGCTGCGGGTCCCCCGCACCGCGCTCACCGCCGCCGTCTCTGGCCGCAGCAAAAAGGACCGGGCGCGGACAAGGCGCACCTCGCCGGCGCTGGGCGCCAAGGTGGCCAGCTACGTCAACAACTCGATCCCGCACGAGAAGCTGGAGGCCGGCAGCGGGCCGGGCTCGCCGCGCGCCTCCCACCTCGGCTCGCTGGTGGTCGATCTCGACACGCTCAACGTCGACCGTACGCCGCCGGGGAGCCGGGCGCGCGCGGCAGGTGTCGCGGTGGGGTCGGCGGGTCGGCAGCGGAGGGTGGCCATCGCCCGGCGCGGGGCTGAAGGCCCGCCTTGTATCGACGGATCTGGTCGCTGTAGCTGGCGTGATAAACGTCGCTGTTGTGCTGACCATCGCGTGCGGAGGCTGAGAGCCTGGGAACTGAGGGCTAGGGCCCGTCTCCCACCTCAGGAACACCGATATTTCGGCAATCCTTTTTCGCGGGTTGGGCAGAGATGATCTCGTGCAGGTGTACGTTTGTTCATTAAGTTGATGACTGCTGTGTCCGGGTGGCTAAAGATTAACCCGTATTTCCCGCCACATGGCGGCTAATCCCGTCGATGGACACACCTCAGAAGCATTGGTGTAATCGGTTTGTAATTCCGCGGCAGGAGGCTGATAACTTATTTTTTGTTGTTGACTGATTTTTATTTGCATCTCCCGCTTATCACTACCACTGATCAAGTAGTTATCCCCACCAGAGAGACGCAGATGCCGAGCTCATACTGCAGTCATCGGGTTCGTTGATAATCGGTTCTCCCGATCACGAGAAAGCTGATAACTGGTTCGTCCCCGTTGCCACCCCGCCGGCGCTGCCGGCTGGCGGTCAGTCCCCGGGCGAACGATGATCGCCCGCCGTCCCGCCGCAGGGTCGCTGGGCACGACAGCCACCGTCTCCCGCGGCAGCCGGCGGTTCGCGCGCGGCGCCGCCGCCAACGGCAGCCTGCGTAACCCATTGGCCAACGGCGGCGACCTGGGCTCGGCCGGCACGCTGGCGCGCCAGCCGGCGGCAGCGCGCGGCTCGCAGCGCTCGCTCCAGTCCAGCGCCAGCTCCACCTTCAAGCCGGCCGGGTCGGTCGCCGGCTGGCCCGAGGGCAGCATCCCCAAGCGCGTGAAGAAGCTCAGCTGGGAGGACGAGCAGAACAGGGTGGGTGGTGGCCGGCGCTGAGAGCGCGGCGGGTTCGCGCCATGGTCAGACGCTTGGTGTTATTTATCCGTTGCCTGTCGAGTGCCACTCATTTTCCGTATGTAGTGGCTGTGTATGATGGTAGGTGGGGAACGCAGGCTGATTATGCTTGCCGTTAGGTTTGTAAATGCTTATGCTTCCTCGCACGTCCGCATGAGCGCGCAAGTGTGCCAGCCGAGGAAAATGAGCAGTATGTGTGTGTGTGTGTGTGTGTCTGTTCTGGCGTGACCGAGCGCGGCCGTTGGCATTTCAGTCGCTCAGGTCGGTGCGCTACCCGACCGGCCACGTTAAGACTCCCCTGGAGCCGACTATCCAGGAGGGGCCGGGGCCGCAGGAGCATCACGCGGAACAGGTGCCCAGCTGGCTGCTGACGGCCGCCGCCGCGCCCGCCACTCGCGCTGGCTCCTCCGCTGGGGCGGGGCGGCCGGTCGGCGCCTCTTGAGTCTGCCGCTGTCCTCTCGGCTCTCCCACAGTCTGATCGGGGCCTGCGTTGGCCGGGGGCGGCGTCACCTGTGCTGGAGTCGGCACGTCTTGAGTCTGCCCCTCTCCGCTCTGCTCTCTCCACAGTTTGCCGTGCACCGGATCAGGCGGGGTCCGAAGCCACTGGCTGGAGCCAGCACGTCTTGAGTCTGCCCCTCTCCGCTCTATCCTCTCCACAGTCTACCGTGCACCGGTCATGCGCCTTAGCGAGGTTTGAAGCCACTGGCTGGAGCATGTGTCATGACTGTGCTGCTGCACAGACACAAGTCCTCTAACCACAATGGCTGGTTAGAGTTTTTATCTTGAGTGATGACACGACGTTGTCTCGTGCTCACAACAATAGGTATTTGCCTTCAGTAAAAATGTTTGTCAACGGAGGCTGCACAGTTACACCAGAGGGTTGTCACTAGTATCAGGGGCTTAGAAAAGCCCCTCTTAAAAGGAACGACCCAAAAATAAGTCAATAATCTAGTGACTACTTTTATTTTCAACGATTTTCAAACAAGAGTTTGAGGGGTTGGGCCGTGTAAGGACGTGATGAACAAGTTATTAACGTTGACGCGTCCGTGTTAACCACTGCGCGTCTGGGAAACCAAGGTACGAGGTTTCCCCGCAGTGCCCGCCCTTCCTGCCAGGGTGAGAGGAAGGCGACACCATATAGCCTCAGCAACTGAGTGCGCCGTAAAGCTCCAATAACGACGAAGGCGTTCTTAAATACCTGCGGATTCTGGAAAGTTTATTATCACCAGTGATACAAATTGTGTAGGCTGAGCTGGTCCAGAAGCAAGTCCCAAGCTGCTGGGGGGTGGGGGGGGGGGGGGGGGCTGAGCTTGAGTGCCGCTGCTGGAGATACGGGCCTGGGATGGCCGCTGCCGGAGTACGGCGCCAGGGTCTGTCGCTGCTGGAGTGCGACGCTCAGGTCTGCCGCTGCTTGATTGCGACGCCCAGGTCTGCCGCTGATTGAGTGCGACGCTCAGGTCTACCGTTGCTGGAGTGCGACGCTCAGGTCCGCCACTGCTGGAAGAAGAGAGCTTGGCGCATGGGCCTGCTACTGCTGCTGAAGCAGGGTGCAGCACCTGGGTTTTCCGACATCAGTCGTGGAGACGGAGAGTGCGGCGCCAGGGTCTTCTGCTGTGCGCTACCCGGGTCTACATGTCTGTCGTATGGGTCAGCCGTTGCTGGAGAAGTACAGCTTGACACCCGAGTATGCTGAATTGCTGGAGGAGAGAGCGCCACCCGAGGCTGCCGGACTGCTGCAGGAGAGAGCGTCACCCGGGGCTGCCGGACTGCTGGAGGAGAGAGTGTCACCCGGGCCTGCCGGACTGCTGGAGCAGATAGCGTCACCCGGGTCTGCCAGGCTGCTGGAGGAGAGAGCGTCACCCGGGTCTGCCAGGCTGGTGGAGGAGAGAGCGTCACCCGGGTCTGCCAGGTTGCTGGAGGAGAGAGCGTCACCCGGGTCTGCCAGGCTGGTGGAGGAGAGAGTGTCACCCGGGTCTGCCGGACTGCTGGAGGAGAGAGTGTCACCCGGGTCTGCCAGGCTGGTGGAGGAGAGAGCGTCACCCGGGTCTGTCAGGCTGCTGGAGGAGAGAGCGTCACCCGGGGTCTACCATGCTGCTGGAGGAGGGAGCGTCACCCGGGTCTGCCGGACTGCTGGAGGAGAGAGTGTCACCCGGGTCTGCCAGGCTGCTGGAGGGGAGAGCGTCACTCGGGGTCTACCATGCTGCTGGAGGAGGGAGCGTCACCCGGGGTCTGCCGCTGTGCGCCACGGTCTGCCGCTGTTGGATAAGGGAACACGGAACTCAGGTTCTCCCCCCGGATCCTAAGTCACCACCGATCACCGGACCTGCCATGCTGCTCAGATAAGTCCGAGCTTGCCACGCTTCTCGGAGGAGCCTGTTGTGTGGTCATGACTGCGCTGCTCACGGCCGCCGCCGGCCCGCGGCCTCCGCGGCCGACCAGGTGACCGCACCTAACCTGAGGCAGAGGGTGGAACAACCCGGCTGACTTGTGCGCACAGCCTGGTGGAGGAGCGTAACACTGCACGTGCAGCTTATCGCCCTCTCGCCCAAGCCACGGGCTACAGTCGGCCGTGCCGGCACATCACCGGGCGTCCGCTGATGTACGGAAGCTGGCGGCGGATGCAGATGGTAGAGCCAGACGGCAGCGGGGTTCCGGTTCGGCTACAGTCGAGTGCTGCGATGCAAGCCGGAGCTACAGTCGAGTGCTGCGATACAAGCCGGAGCTACAGTCGAGTGCTGCGATGCAAGCCGGAGCTACAATGGTCGTGATGACGCTGGATGTACGAGCCGCATACGGCATGCGGCACGATGTTGCTTCTGCTAATATCGCGAGATTTGGTCCAAGACGTCCGACGGCTGAGATCTCGGCCGTCAACGAGGCGACTCCCACTGACATGACGCTGCGGCTCGCGCAAGGTGTCAACAGATCGCTTGTTGACTTTACCTCCTGTATAGGGCCGGGAGTCACATACTTGCATTAGTTAGCAAGCCACACGCTTGCCTCAGATCTCAAGTCACATGCTTACCTCAGCTCCCAAGTCACACGCTTACCTCAGCTCTTACCTCAGCTCCCAAGTCACATGCTTACCTCAGCTCCCAAGTCACATGCTTACCTCAGCTCCCAAGTCACATGCTTACCTCAGCTCTTATCTCAGCTCCCAAGTCACACACTTGCCTCAGCTCCCAAGTCACATGCTTACCTCAACTCCCAAGTCACATACTTACCTCAGCTCCCAAGTCACATGCTTACCTCAGCTCTTATCTCAGCTCCCAAGTCACATGCTTGCCTCAGCTCCCAAGTCACACGCTTACCTCAGCTCTTACCTCAGCTCCCAAGTCACATGCTTACCTCAACTCCCAAGTCACATGCTTACCTCAGCTCCCAAGTCACATGCTTACCTCAGCTCTTATCTCAGCTCCCAAGTCACACGCTTGCCTCAGCTCCCAAGTCACACGCTTACCTCAGCTCTTACGTCAGCTCCCAAGTCACATGCTTACCTCAGCTCCCAAGTCACACGCTTACCTCAGCTCCCAAGCCACACGCTTATCTCAGCTCCCGAGTCACACGCTTACCTCAGCTCTTACCTCAGCTCCCAAGTCATACGCTTATCTCAGGACCCAAGTCACACACTTACCTCATTGAGCAATGTTGTAGCGATTTGTTCTTTTTTAAGGTTAATGCGCACCACCAACTTATCTATCCATGTCCCGTCACTTTTAAATCACGTGGTGGCACATAAGAAGATCAAAGATAAGGTATGTAGAAAAAATATGTTTAAAATAGTACCCGAAAACAACAGAAAGCTTACGCCAGCACCGGCTAGCTAGACGAGATGAGCAGGCATCAGAGGCAGCATTACTGAGCTGCTGGGCGGCATCTCAGTAGGCAGTGAAATCCAGGAATGCTGAGATGAAGATAAAGCTGCAAAAGCTAAGGCTTAAGCAACTTGAGCAGCAGTTGCGTTTTGAAAAGGATGGACAGGACCTTCAGCGAGGCAGAAAGCTCGAAGGAGTGACTGCCACAAGTGAGATCGCTCAGCCAGAAGCCAGCCTGAGAAAGGCTGAGCTGAGCTGAGCTGAGAGGCTGCAGTATGAGAAAGGCTGCAGAGGAACGAGCTGAGAAAGGCTGCAGAAGGCTCTCTGGCATGAGAGCGCCGAGACGACTTTGTCGGCGAGGAGCGAGATGCTGACGGTGACGGTGCGATACAACATCACTGGACACAGGACAGCCCGGCCATCCAAGATCAGGAGGGTATCCTGCAGCGAGCTACGAATGAGCGCTCAGGGAGACAACCAAGTGTCATCTCATTGCTCCTCGTTCACCAAGAGTACCTCACGCATTACTCTGCCGGCATCCTCCGGCGATCCCATGGAGCGGCCGAGTGGTAGGGTTTATTCAGACCTCTCGTGGATCAGCTCTCCGGTCTTCCTTGTCTGAGTCGGCGGAAGCAATCCGCCTGCAGTATGTGATCCCAAGCTGGGCGCAGCAAACCATTAGCGGCATGTCGTCTGAACTGGAGCTAGATCAGGAGGCTCTCGCAACACCGGAAAACAGATTTAGCCGAGATTATGATATGATGCACGCAAACATGGGAGCCGTGTTGATGGCTACACCCCCAGGTACACCAGTGCTGCTGGTCTGGAGAGGCTTCACGCTGTGATTAGTTGCGCCGTGGCGGTTATGAGAAACCCTTGGCTTCAAAGGGACATTGAGGGCTACGAGAACCGGGAACGGGCGGTGGAAAAATAACCCAAGGAGCTAAGACGGAAATGGGTTGAACACGTCCGGGAGATGAAGTCAACAAAGCCGAGGTTGGCTACTTTCAATCGGTGACTCGGCAAACAAATTAAATTTTGACTGAAACGCAAAATATCAGGTGCACTGCACAACTCCGAACAGCTCACCAGGAGTTCAGCGAGGATGAATGAAGCGTGTCCTGTGGGATGTGTCTGCTGTGGCGGTGACCACAGCTCGGAGCAGTGGAAATTAGCGGAGACGTCAACCGATGACCGCGTTTGTTGCCTGCTACGAGTCTGTAGTAGGTAACAAACTGTGCGTCTTTTGCCAACAAGGAGAATATCATATTCGCGACTGTGCCACTGCTAAGCCTTGTGGAAGGGAGGGCTGCGCAGTGAGACATCACGAGCTCCTTCATGACAGCAGGCGGATCATCTGGCGTTTGGCTAAATCGGTCCATTCAAATGGCGCAGATCACGTTACGTCCTCACAACTTCTCACAACCGCGGCGGCTCAACAGAATGAAGTCACCGTGCTCCCTCAAATTGTGTCTGTCAACGTGCACGGGCCTGCCGGGGAAGCCAGAGAGACACGCGCCTTGCTGGATCCTGGAGC